GACACAGCCCTTCAGCCTCTCTAGATATAGTGATAACACATTCAGATTTGTGTTTGGAAAATTGTGGCTATTGAGTACAGAAAGGATTGTAGGGGGATAGGAGAGGACCCAGGGAGAGTAGCTAGGGGGCTGTTGTCATTAGCCAGGCAAGAGCTGATGGTGGCTTGGAGCAGGGTGGTGGCAATAGATGAGTAGAAGAGCAGATGGATTGGATCTAAGATACGTTGTGGAGGTAAAGGCAGCCGGATGAGAGGCAGGGGGAGGCTGAGAGAAGAGTCAAGGAAACTCCCAAGTGAAACCAGGTTAAACCAACCCGGTTTGTTGGCCATTTCCTCTTGCCCTGGGTGTTAATGGGGGTAGAGGGAAGGGAGACAGTTGATGACAGTAAAACTTTTCTGGGACCCCACTTAAAGCTTCAGGCTCAGAAATTGTTCTATCTTTTTCCTATATCACCAGGACACCGCACTCTCCTGGTTTTCCTCCCACCCTACCTCAAGGGCCACACTTTCTCCATCTTTGCTGGTTCCTCCTTCACCCTGACTTCTAAATGTTCGGAGTATACCAAGGCTCAGGCTTGGAGCTCTGCTCTTCTCTGTGCTCACTCTCTAGGGAAACCATTCCATCTCCTGGCTTTCGAAATCATCTGTGTGCTGAATACTCCCAAATTTATATCTTCACACTAGACCTCTCCCCGAATTCCAGACTCATACACAACTGCCTACTCAACATCTCCACTTGACTATTTCTTTAGTCAGTTCAGACTTAACATGTCCAGATTAAACTCTTACTCTTCCCTTCAAAATCTGCCCCTCCTGGAATCTTCTCCATCTCTGAGAATGGCCCCTCCATCCTTTTAGTTGCTCATACTAGAAACCTTGGAAAACCCTCGACTCCTCTCTTTCTCTCACAACCCAGATCCAAATCCATCAGCAAATCCTGTCATCTCTACTGGCAAAAAATGTCCAAAATTCCAATCTCTTCTCACCACCTCTAATCCACTATTATCTCTCGCCTAGATTATTGCAATAATTTCATGACTGGGCTCCCTTGCCCCCCTACTGTCTATTCTCAACACAGCAGCCAAAGCAATCTTGTTAAAACTTAATTCAGATCATGTCACTCTACTGCTCAAAATCCCCTCATGGTCTGCTGTCTTATCAGGGTCAAAACTAAAGTCTTCTCAATGACATGATCTTCCCTCCACCACCACTCCTTCCATCTCTCTGACCTCACCTCAGCTTCTGTCACTCACCCGCCCCCCAAACCCCCCATAGATACCCATATCCTCCCTTTACTTTGCTCCAGCCACACTGACCTCCTTCTTCTTCCTCTGCTGCAACAGGCCTTTGCACTCGCCATTCCCTCTACCTGGATGGCTCCTTCTCCAAATATCTGAATGCCTTAGGTCAGGTGTCTGCTCAAGCATTAAGTTTTCATGAGGCCTCCTTCAACCACCCTATTTAAAATTGCTACTGCTCTACCCCCCTTTCACACTCCTTGCTTCTCTGCATTTTTCTCTCTAGTGGTTGTCAGTGTCTCCTTTACTGTAAACTGTTTGTTCCACATCACACTCCCCTCCCCACTAGAATATGAGCTCCATAATGACAAGGTTTTGTCTCTTATTTCCTGCTTTGTCCCCTCTACCCAGAACAGAGCCTGGCACATAATAGGCACTCAATAAATAGTGAAGGAGTGAATGGAATTAGGGAAAGATCTCTAGTCCTCAAGAGGCAGCCTGGGTCTGGGAATGAAGACCTGGTTTCTGGTACTAGCTTTGACACTAGCTGTGTGACTCTGGGCCTCAGGCTGTCTATCTGTAGATGGTGGAGAATTCCTGAGGTCCTTTGCTGCAGCAGCGTTCTAGAATGATGCTTGGCCATAGCCTCACCTGCTGCCATTTGGCTGAGAGTAGAAGGTAGGGATGGACAGGACCTGGTGGAGTGAGAGGAGAGAACTTGCTCATTCTTTCTAGTCAAGGCTTGAGTGGAGTCTTCCCTGGCTTTGAAATGAAGGGCAAGGTTCTGGCTTGGACTTGGCAGGGCTCTGGGAGCCCTGGGTGAGGGGGGTCCAGCCCCACCTGCTGAGTGAGAACAAGTAGAGGCCTGGCTACTAGGCCTGGGCTTCTCCTCATGGGGAGTTGGTCCCTGTGAGGGCCTCATGGGGAGTGCTGCTCTAAGAAAAAGAGGAGGGAGGTGGGGAATCAGGACAAGCTAAACGCCGAGAAGGGCGGACTGGAGAGGGCCTTCTGCGTGGATCACCTGGGCCCGCACACAGGTCCTCAATGAGTTCTGTGAGGTCATGCCTCAGTGCAGACCTCAGCCAGCCCCCGGGGCCCTCACAGCCAGCATCCGCTCCAAGACAGAGCGGCAGGCCTTTTGGCTGAGGAAAGCCCAGCCCTCTTCCCTTTTCTGAACCTTGCAACAGCTCTCTGCTTGTTTTCCCCGAAATAAATGGGCTTAGCATATTGGGCCGGCAATAACCCCTTGAAATCAGTTGTTATCACAGTTAACAACCAGTTTGGCTTCAGTTCAGGCTGTTAACTATCAAACCACTAAGTGCCGGTAATGATTGATTCTTGGCCAGTTGCAGCTTGAGTGGGCTGTAAAACCCCATTAGCGAGGGCTCTGTGGAGGCAGCAACGCAAAGATAAACAAGGTGGTGGGTGCTCTAGCCCAGCCTGGCCCCACTGCTCTGGGCTCTGCCCCCATGGGTCCCTGGCCTGAGGTCCTGCTGGGAGTCAACCCCTTCCCAAAGCCTCAGGGCACCTCAAGGACCAGATCTCCACCCTCCTGTCCACCTCTGCTCCCCCGCTCCCATCAGTCATCTCTCTCCTATAAGGCAGGCATGGCTCTCTGGACGGCCCACCTCTTCTCCCTCAACACAACCATAGCACAGTTCCACCCCACCACCCTGGAGTACTCAGGCATCCCCAGCCTTGGGGCTGCAGGAGTAGCTTTGGCCTAGCCAGTGACCATCCTTGGCCCAGGCTGGCCCCACTTTGTGGCCAGGATCACAGGCAGGGAGAGCCTGACATTCCACCTCCCCAGACTCCTGCCTATCCTGTGGCTTCCCCTAGGAATTGCTCTCAAACAAATGAAATGTGGGTAATTACTGGGCTAGGGGCTGGACAGGCGGCCGTGCAGATGAAAGCGTTTCCTGGACGGTCTCTTCATTTGCATGGCATCAGAAGCTGCTCAGAAGGTGTGACTTTTCCCACAGTGAGACCCCAGCTCCTTGCACAATAAAGCCAGGCTGCTCACCCAGAATTAATTAAAGGGGGAGGGGAGGGGATGGAGCAGAGGAGGAGGCACTAAGAGCTGGGGGAGCTGGAAGAGAGATCTCTAGAGCCCCCTCCCCACATCCCCAGTGTCTATGCACCAGGAGAAACCCACTCTATCCAGAGCCCCTAACCCTCATAGCAGGCCAGAAGAGGTGGCATGGACAGACCCTAGGGTATCCCCAACCGCTCCACTCCAAGACTTCCCACTGAGCCCTGGAATTCCTGATCCACCTCCTGAGCCCGGGACTTATGGCTGCAACTCTGGGAGGTCCATGTGATTAGAAGGCCTTGGGGTGCCCCCCACCCAAAGGGGTGCCAAAGAACAGAGGCCCAGAGGGAAGAGGTTTCTGGATTGGCCCAGGAACTGGGCTTTGGGACCAGCCCAGGGGCACCCTCAAAGAAGGCAGCAGAAGCAACCTGAATGGGAAGCCTCGGTTATGAAGACTGGGCCAGCTCTGCCCTCAGATCTGCTGCCTTGGGGCGTGGACTCTTCCTCAGCGTGGTATGACGCCAGTGTCACCAGTCCACATCCAAACACATACCCCTCCACCCACCATGGGCCAGTCCCCTGTCGCCACACCATGACCTGCTCTACATGGCCATAGCATGACCTGGTCTTCCTTCCTCCACAGCAGTCCTCCCTCACAGCCTAGTCCTTGTGACAAGACCTGCTGCTTCTCCTCCAGGCCAGAGTTTGAGATCTGCTCTTGGCCCCTGAGCTACCCTTCCATCCCATGCCCAGTTCCTCTCCCTCTGGGCCCCATCTCTCCGAGGCCAGCAGTCTCTCCCTGGACCACAGTCCCCTGGGCTCTTTGCAGTACCTGAACTCAGCACCTTCTGCTCACAGCTCTCTATCCAGATCTCCCAAAGTGAACACTTGTTTCATGTCACAATTGTCAACACCAGCCTTGGCAGTCTCCCCTCCAACATACCCCCACATTGGACCCTGGCAGCTGCTCTTTTCTTTCATTTTCTGGAGCTTGATACTCAAAGAACCAGCTCTGGCATCTCCACCTGTCTCCCACACAGACCTAGGCACACACAGAGAGGCACTGTTTTCAAGACTCATTGAATCCATGATTGCAGGTCTGGACCTAGCAGAGTCATCATTTCTGGCCCAGAGGTGGCCTGGGGAAGTGTTAGCAATGACTCTTGTGAATAGCAAGCAAGTTCATGTCTGAGAGCTCCCAGGACCAGCTAAGAGCCTCCTCTTGCCCCTTTCCCTGCTCCTGTCCTCCCAGGAAAATCCCTCTAGGGACAATGATGGGGATAGCTGACAGGCCTGAGTCCTTAGGCTGAAGGGAGGCTGCAGTCAGAGCTGGTGCCGCATTTGCTATATCTCCAAGCCGCCCCCCAGCTGGGGCAGGGCAAGGGGAGAGGGGCTGACCCGGCAACACTCCCTCTCCAACATTTTTAATACGCACATTAAATAAATATCTCAGTCATTTAATAGCAACTAATACACAACCACCTCTCACTGACACCCACCCTTAAAAGTCCGGACCCTTTCCTCCCTGCCCCTACCTGGGGGTGCAGTGGAGTCCCTGGCTGCCTGGCCACCTTGCCCTGCAGGGGCTGGGGTCTCAGGAGCACCTCTGCTGAACTAGAAAAAGCCTGCCGCCCCCAGGGAACCCCCTCCGGAATCCCAGTCTAGGCCACTAACCCGCCTTCCTGAGAATTAAGAAGACAGACACCACAGCCAAGTGGAATACAAAAATAGAGCCTCTCTTTTGTTAAAAAACAACAAACAAAAACAGAAAAACCCAACAGCAAACAATTATCAACAGCTAGAACCCGGGGCTCCCCCAGCTCCTCCCCAGCCTTCAGCAGCGCAGACCTCATCCTGCTTGAGTTTGTCTGTCTGTGCTCCCGCCAGATGGAGATCTCCGCGCCTGCCGCAGCCGCGGGGAGGGGCCGGGCAGGCGCCTATCGGGGCTCGGGGGCCCAAGTCCTCTGGCTGCCGCGCAGGCTGCGCGTGAAGGGCGGGTAGTTGAGGAACTCGAAGCGCAGGCTCTGCTCGGTGGTGTGGTGGCCGCGGGGCAGCCGCTTCATGAAGTGCACCTCGCGCTGGTGCTGCCGCGTCTTGGAGCCCTTGCGGGGCCGACCCTTGCGTGTGAAGGCCATGTACCAGCCCTCGTACTTGGCGTTCTGTAGGGCCGTGTAGTTGTTCTCCAGCACGATCTCCGTGAAGACACAATCCTTGCCCTTGCCGTTGCTCTGCAGGTAGGGGGGCCAGACACGGCGTTACTGGGCCCTGTCCGAGCCCCCCCATCAGAGGCAGAGGGCAGGTGGCCCCAGACAGCAGGTGGGCACCCCAGCAGATGGCAGAGTGGGCAGGAGCTGCGGCCCCACCCCCTGCCCAGGCACCCGCTCTCTAATCCCTCACAACCTGCAGCCCACCCGGCAACTTCCTGTCCTCCCGGGCAGCATGACACATGGCTGTCTACCCAGGGGCTGGGCCGCAACACAGAGAGGCAGAGAGGGGGCCCAGACCCTGTCTGCCCTGGCCTCCTGCCCACCAGTCTGGCCCAGGCTGCTAGGACCTGTTTCCCCACCTGCCTCCCTCAGCCCCTCAGGATTGGGCCCCCCTCAAGGGCAGCCACCCTATGGGGGAGGGGAGGCCTTCGATGAGATGCTGAGCCCCAAGCCCCTGAAGCCCAGGAAGCAGGGAGCTTGAGGCTGGAGAGGAGCCGTGACTAATGGGGCCATTTCAGAGCTCGGCCGAGGGGCTGGGCCTGCGGCTTACTGAACATTCCAATTGCTGGTACCATGTAATTGGACATAATAGCAAAGCAATTTGGCGATTTGTTAAAAAGATATATGGAATTTACCAACCCCCCGCCAGTCCCTTCCGTGGCCTTCCTTCTTCCTCCTTTGCCTTTATAGCTTTTCATCTCTCAAGCAGTTTCCTTCTCCCCTACCTCCCTGAACCCCCCACCCAATCATTAGGTTACCCCAAGGCGGTCCTGTGTCTCTCTGCCCACTGTGTTGGGATCCTGGAGGAGCTCAGCCAGCCGAGCCCACTCTCCAGACCCCAGGGCCCCCCCTTCCTTCTGGGCCCTCACCTTGGCAATCAGCTTTCCCTTCTTGTTCATGCAGATGTAGAGGCCCGTCTCAGCTCCTCGGACACGAACCCGGCTCCCAAAGGTATCTGTCTCCACAATGAGCTTTGCTGTTGAGGAAGGTGAGCGGACGGTTATTGGAAGCTCCCTGACCCCCACTCTCCCACGTCCTCATCCCAGCTGGCCCACAGACTTGTCACATCCCAGCAGCAACTGCTCCAAGGGCCAGATACCCAAGACGTGGGCTCCAGCCCCAGCCCAGCTACTCATATGCTGGACAACCTGGGGAAAGGTCCAGTCCCCTTTCTGGGCCTCAGGCCCCTCACCTGGGTTTACCGAGGGGGATGGACAAGATCATGGTGTACAAACTGGGTTCTGCAGAGGGATCTTGGGGCCATCAAATTGAAAAGATCCTCTTTTTAAACTAGACAGTAATGACTTTTATGTCAAAGCTTCGTGAGCAGAGTTCTACTGCTAATCAAAAGATCTCTGAGGATCCTTCCAACTGAAAATATTATGTGCACATGCCTCACAGATCATTACAAATGTTGGGGTGCTGTGGTGCCCTCCAGTCCAAATGCAGAAGTGCTCTCTCCTGTTTCTGGCACCTCAGGTTCTAACTCACAGCCTTGGCCACTTCCCCACCCCTACCCCTGCTCTGCCGAGATGGTGGCAGGGATGGGACAGCTCTCCCTACACACACACAGCCTATAGCCTGCTGCTTTCCCAGAACCTCAGACACCAGCTGGGAGGTTCCTGCCTCTTCCTCATGCTTCCCAGTCACCACAGTCCCCAGCCCCAGTGTTCAGAAATCAACAACTGGAGTCTTTTCTCTTTCAGAATCCATCACAGCTGGGCTTCTCACCCCAATGACCAAACACTTTCTGTGGGTGAGGAGGGGAGAAAATTGGGCATACTGGCCTCTTATTCTGGAGAACCAGGCGACAGGAGGTAGGAGGGCTGCTCCCCTTAGACAGCCAACTTGCCAAGAAGCCCAGGTCCCTGTCCACTCTCTGCATAGCTCCACCCTTTGAGGCTGTCCCCAAGAAGGGAGTGAGGGCTGACATAGCTGTTTGGGATGGGACAGAAGGGGCTGGGGCTCTTGCCCTCCCTACTGAAGAACCCAGCCTTTCCCCTCCTTGAGACAGCAGTCTGGGACTCCCAGAGCTGCCTCCCAGCCTGCACTGACAAGGTGGCACCTTTTCTGTCCCTGAAACTAATGGGAGGTTGAGGTGGGCACCAAGGTCAGCAAGGCCGCCCTTACTGCCCAGCCTGTGACTACCATCCCCCACCCCCTTCAGATAAGCACAGAGTTGGAACCCAGTGGCCAAGTCCCCAGTCTGGCTCCAAGTCAGCTAGGGAAAGGCAGCTGTCACCTCCCCTCCCACCCACCTCCTCTTGGACCCAGCCTGCTCATCCCTCTCCTGGTCTGCCTTCCAGAGCAAGGAGCAGCTGCTGGTAAGGGTCAGGAAGGACACTGACTGGAGAAGGGACAAGAGGATCCCACTCTGAAGATTCTGACCAAATGGGGCAGATAGGGGTGGAGTAGGCCCCTCTGTTCCTTCCTGGGGCCCATAAGGAAGCAACTGGGACCTCTCTGCCATTCTCCCCCAGACTCTTCCTCTCCTGGCTGCACACTCTAGGCCTCTGCTCTTGGGCCCTCCAGCTCCTATTCCCACCCAGCAGGCAGGAACCTGGGAAGCCTCCTTTACTTGTAAGGAGAGAAGTGGGCATCAGACCTCTGATGTCTGAAGACGAGTTCCCCCATGGCCAGCTTAGCCTCTTCCTCCTCAAAACCCAAGGATGCTGACCCATGTGCTCCAATGGAGCAAACCTAGGAGGAGCTAGATTCATTCCCTTTCCTTGGAAGCTGAGAAGGGCAGCAACCAGCCAGTTTGGAGGGACAAAGGGATGGTAGGCTGGCCCTGCCAGCTCAGCGGGGGAGCTCGGCCACCAGGCAGGCCGCCCCCACCCCCACCACCAAGAGCCCCCACTCTCCTTCCTGGACGGATCTGGGGAGATGGGGCTGCAGTTTACAGCGGCTTTCCCGACCGGGTTTTTGGAAAGCTTAACATTTTCAAACCTCTTCTTCCACCCCAGTGACAGATTTATCCCAGGAAAATTATGTCTCCTTCTCCAGCTTTGAAGGGAAGTCAGCTACGTCGACGCAGAAAAAATGCAGCGAGACATACTCGATCCCCCAAACTGGCTCAAGAAGAGGAGAAAGTATTCAGGAAATGTTAAAAAAGGTGAAAGTAAGAAGAGTTTTAATCGCTCTGCCAGACGCGGGGGTCTCTCCAGAGATTCATAGAGAACAATCTTGAACCTCTTTTTTAACATTTACAGACTTGCAACTCCTTTCAAACTCCACATCTGAAAAAAAGGCTCGTTCTTTTCTGTTTTATATCATTCTTCATTTTTCTTCTTAGCTCTTAAAATGCCTCACCTTTTTATTACATTTTAATAGAGTCTTCCCCTCTCCTTTCATGCTTATTTAACTTTGTCATTATTTAAAGGTTTTTAAACTCACAATAATCGCTCTCTAAAAACAACACCAGCCGCCCAGAGGGCTTGCTTTTCTCCTGGTACATCCAGGACTCTGGAAATTGGCCTTGTTTCAAGGCAGGAATATTGAATGTTTTAGAAATCAATCAGTCCTCAGCCTCTCACCCAGCAGTAGCTCCCTGTACTCACCACCCCGCCGGGAGCCAGGAGCCCCACTCTGACCGGCTGCCTGGGTTCCTGGGCAAGTGAAGCCAGGAGGGCCCCTTTCCAAGCCTAGTCCCCGTGTGTAATTGACCCTTCTGATCAAAGTATTTAAAGGTTCGCAGCACCCCCCCAAGCTGGGAGAGTTGGGGGGATTTCTCTCCCTTCTCTTTCCCACTCTCCTTTTGTGGGCCCTGGTGACATATCCTTTTTCAAGAGCTTCCCTTAAACCTGGGCCCCCTCCCCCTGAACCCTCTGCCTCCACCTGCAGCTGGGGAGAGGTGTACCAGAGGGGGAGGTGTAAAGGGAGATTCCTGGCTTCATTCATCTGCTGGGCAGGGAAGGGGCACCTGTGGGCCAAGTACTCTCCAAGGTCCCTTCCCCACCCCTCACTTCAGCTGACCCCCAAGACGCTCATTTGCCTTAACTCCATCCCTTCTGAGCTGGGACGCCTGCAGGCCTCTGGCCAGCGCAGACGGGGCTGGCGAGTCCAGCTGGGGCAGGGAGCGTGTTCCACAAGCTACCTTTCCCCTGCCGCAGTGCAGCGCGCCTTACCGAAGGGGTCCCCGTCTTCCGCCATGGCGTTGATGCGCTTGTTGGCCAGGACCTGCACGTGCTTCCCGCTGGTGCGGCTGTAGAGCTGGTAGGTCCGGATGAGGCGGCGGCTGAGCTGATCCGTCACCAGGCTTTGCTCCCTCACATGCTGTGTAAAATTAGGTGAGGACTGAACAGTTACCTTTAGGAAATTGAAAAATACACAACACGCCATTATAATGCTACTCCGCCCAGGGGCCCAAGTGGCCCCCATCGCCTTGCACCCCCCTCCACTGCCCCAGGCAGCCGGCAGGGGCTGGGGATCCCACCAGCATACCAGCTCGGGCCGCCACCCCCCACCCGGGAAAGTCGAGCAGACCCAGCCTAGCACAGATGAGCCCGGGATGGGGAAGGATCTGGACCCACCTGTTGGGAAACACCCTGGGACTCCCGGCCAGCTCGGAACAGGGAAGCGAGCTCCCTGCCCAGCGCAGGCCCCCCGCCCGGGCCTTCCTAGAAGAGCAGGGCGCTTTTAAGTAGAGAGGCAGCGCTGCCCGACCCCTGACATTTATAAAGACAAATTTACGGAGCAAATGTTGAGAGCGTAGAGGGCCTAGGTACCTGATCTTTCCGCCAGACCCGCCACAAGTCTCCCCAGAGAGTCGCGGAGAAGGTCCCTGCGGCAGTCACCCGGACTTCTGACAACGAACGCCCCCTGGCTCCGGATGCCCCCTTCCTCGGCGGCCAGGTGTGGCTGCCCGCAGAGTTTCCCACCCACCCCAACCTGGCTAGGATGCGTGCGAGACAGCGCTGGACTCCAAGACCTTGGGTTCTAGCCTCCATTCACTGGCTGTGTGACCTTAGGCAGGGCGCTACCTCTCTGTTCCTTAGCTCCTTCCTCGGGGTAGTTCGGGGCTGGACTTCTAAGGTTCCTTCCAGCCCTGCCGCGCTGGCCGCAGGGTCCGTCCTCGTGCCCCTGCCCGACACTGCCAACAGGCGTCCGCCGCCCGCCCCCCGTCCCCCGCCTCCGTGCAGTGCGCCTTACCTGAGCTTGGAGGCAGAGAACCAGCAAGTGCAACAGCCTGTGGGAGACAAAAGCGGGCGAGAGAGAGAGGGGCCGGGGTGAGCAGAGAGGGCGCGGCGGCGCTGGCCGGCGGGGACGCGGGGGTGGCGGCGGTACTCACAGGCAGCTCAGCGCGGAGCGGGGGCTGCCCATGGCGCGCGGCCCGGGGAGCACGGAGAGCCCCGGCGGGATCACGCCGGGCCGCGGGCGGCCGCAGACGGACGAGCCGAGGGCGGCGGCGACCGAGGAAGGCTCGGGTGCGGGAGCCCAGCGGCGATCCCGACGCGGCTCCGCGGGTCCCGTGGAATGTCGAGCTCGCCGCGCCGCGCCGTGCCGCGCTGAGTGGCTCTGCGCCGCTGCCGGAGCCGGTGGCCGCTGGCTGCTCAGGAGCCGGAGCAGGCGGGAGGGTAACGGGCCGGCAGGGTGGGTGGGTAGGTGGG